CCGGTTACCGCCTTTCTTAGTTTTCTAGTGATGTTGTAACAGAAATACCACAAGTGGGTGGCATTACAGAACAGAAATTTACTTTCTCCCATTAAAGAGGCTGAAAGTCTGCATCAAGGTCTCAGCCAGGCCGTGCAGATTCCTTCTTTGTCAGTAGCCCTAGGTGTTTCTTGGTTCCTTGGAGTTCTGTGGCTTGTAGATGATCCTCTCATGGAGTCTGTCTTCCCTTGTGTGTGTGTGTCTCTGTGTCAATTCTTGTCTTTAACTCAGAAGTGATTAGGTTTAGGATCCACCCTAACCTGGTATGACCTTATTAACATAACAAAAAGAAAACTCTATTTCCAAGCAGGATTACATTTATAGGTGCAGGGGTTAGGATTTCAACACATTATTGGGGTGGGCAGGGTTGGGGGTGTGGGACACAATTCAATCAATACTACTGCCTGATGTGGAAAAGTTTCCTTTTTGAAAATACAACCATCAGAGAAAAACAATGAACTTTTCATGCTTGGTTGGATACTGAATTTCTCCTCTTTCTAAACTTTGAATATCAGTGCTAATTGCAAACTTAAGCTCGACTTTCTACATTAACCAGCGAGCTCCTGGAAGGAAACACCTATGTCATATTCATTTGTAGTCTCCAGTCTCCCACGTTGCCTGGAATATAGTCTGAGCTCAATAAATATTTCAGAAAAAAAAAATACAAAAAACAAGAGTGTTACCCTAATTCTCTCTGTGTTAGCAGAGTAGGCGCAAGAAAGAGGTGGACATCTTGTAGTGGCTAGAGGAAAGCTGGAGAGGAGAGAACAGGTTTTATTTAGACTTTATTTCTGTTGGTTGCTCCATGACAACTACTGCATTAGCACAAAACACAGTGAGGCAGTCCACTGTGCCTTTGGGATTTGGATCTAGCTGAAAGTCCCTGATTAGCACAGGATTGGTCCTGCCTACGTTTTTCTTGTGTAATTTATTTGGAAAAAACTGTTGTTGTGTGTGCCATCCAGTTGATTGTGACTCATAGCAATGCTATAGGACAGAGTAGAACAGCCTCATAGGCTTTCCTAGGCTGAAATCTTTACGTGGGTAGATCACCAGGTTTTTCTGGTGAGTTTGAACCACTGACCTTTCTGTTAGCAACCAAGTGTTTAACCATTGCACGACCAGGGCTCCTTTTGAATAAACTAGACTCTCCCAGTAGATTGGAAATTCTACAAGGCCTGGACAGGGACAAGTCTGTTTGGTTTGGGCTGACTATTTTATCCCAGGGCTTAGCACAGAGTTGGCACTCGACCATATACTGTATGAATGACTGAATGAGTCTAGTAAGTGGAGCAGCTTTTGGGGAACGAGACCCTTCCTATGTCTGTTCCATAGAAAGGAAGAGGGGGAGGACTACTGGGGGGAGAGTTCTAAAAGGTTTAGGGGAACACCATTTACCTTAATTTGTCCTCTCCCTGGTTCTTTGGAAAAGAGGAAAAAGATCTTATCTGTCTTCTTATGAGGTGTTTTTGGTTTTTTTTTTTTTTTTTTTTTTGGATTAATGTCAACTCCAACGTCACTATTGCTGTTCTTTTTTTGAGAAGAGAGAAGTTACGTAATGACGGCATACACCCCAAATGGATGTCTTCCACAAATCCATCAGCCCAAATGCCCTTTTCTGTCCCTCAGCTGTCCTGTTTAACTCTAATGCCCATTCCCTACCCCAATCACCTTTTGTTGATTTAGGCCTGGGGTTTTCAGTAAAGAATTTAGCCTCTCTAAGTTTCCCTCCGAGAGCATAAGAGCCCTTCTCAGCTCCCTTCTGAGAATCTGTCAGAGAGACAGACAATGTTTCTATTACTGTCCTGTCCCAGGCACATGGCCAGCTCTGAGAAGGCACTCAGACTTAGCACCACGACATCTCTCTAAGTCATTGGGTTTCATAGCCCTGCTTCCTTGTCCATTTTGTAAAAGTGCCACTAGCATATGGAACATATTTTACACAGGTATCTTCCTGAAATTCTTTGGGATACCTGGAGACATCTTGTTGTTGTTAGCTGCTGTCGAGTTGGCCTCTGACTCATGGCAATGCCATAGAACTGTCCCAGAGGGTTTTCTTGGTTGTAATCTTTACAGAAGCAGATTGCCAGGCCTGTCTTCTGCTGTACCACTGGGTGGATTCAAACTGCCAAACTTTTGGTTAGCAGCCAATCACAAACTGCTTGTACCACACAAGCTCTTTGAAGACATCTTAGTGCCTAAGAAAACCACGAAAAGTTGAAAACAGAGAGTCAGATCATGCTGATCATGAGATGTAAATTGAAATGAGTGAATTTTGAGATTGGCCCCTCTGGCTCTCATGAAGGTCTGAGGCTGGCCCAGGAAGTGGACTTGGGGAGCTTGTAAACCTAGGTCTGCCTTTCACTGTGGCATTTGGTGCTCTCTTCACACACAGCTTCTTGCTGTTCTGCTGTGTCTGGAGGCCTCCTTCTGACCTAACCTTCACTGGGCTTCACCCAAATTTGGAGGCAACTAGATGTTTGTATCAACTGGAGACCAACAGAGGCAGCATATTTTTGTGAAAAGCTACAACATGTTTGTTTATGTTCTTAAAAGTAGAATATAATGTATCATGCACATAGCTTTAGAATTGATGAAAAGACATAGTGGTGAAAGGCAAAAAGCATCTGTTCTTCGCTGTAGAAGACGGGATGGAAACACACTTACGTTCAGTAATTCTGATCACTGCAGGCTTTGTTGTTGTTGTCGTTGTTCGGTGATATCAAGTCTACTTTCCCCAGGTGACAGAGTAGAACTGCCCCATAGGGTTTTCTAGGCTATAATCTTTATGGGAAGGAGCCCTGGTGGCTCAATGATTAAGCACTTGGCTGCTAACCAAAAGGTCAGTGGTTTGAACCCACCCAGCCACTCAATGGAAGAAAAGACCAATCAATCTGCTTCGGTAAAGATTCCAGCCTAGGAAACCCTATGGGGCAGCTCTGCTCTGTCATATAGGGTTGCTATGAGTTGGAATTGACTCAACAGCACACAACAACAACAATCTTTATGGGAGCAGATCGCTAAGTCTTTCTCCTGCGAGCCTCTGGTGGGTTCAAACCGCCAACCTTTCAATTAGCAGTCAAATGCTTTATTGTTATGCCACCAGGGCTCCTTGCTCTCTGGGATCCTTGAACATTTTCTCAACAGGAATGACAGAACAGTAGAACTTAATTCTCTATGAGCAATTTTTAAATAGCATAGAATAACACCATAATTCAGACTAGAGGAAGAGGAATTATAGGACTAAAGAAATGTTAAAAACAGATAACTAACATCCCTATAGACAATACAATAGAGCTATAAAATGTGTGCTACCACTAGACTATATAACTTGCTTGAGGACAGGGACCACGTTTTCATCATTTTCTATCACTGCTCAGTATCTAAGTGTGATGCTTCACCCACAGAGTGGGCACCTTACAAATTTCAGCTCCACTGAAATTATTGGAACTGTATCCTATGTTCAGTCATTCCAGAGCTGAGCAACCTGAGACCCCCCAAATGGAATCTCCGAAACATTTTCAGTTATGAGGAACGCTGGCTACTATGACTGATGGCAATGAAAGTTCAGTCACTGACAAGTTTAAAAGTAATCAGGAAAGCTATTAAAGCTGGATTCCGTGCCGTTTATAAGCAGGGAGTAGAGCCCACTGCATTGGATGGATGAGGGGAATTGAGAAATTCAAATGACAGGCAATTAAAAAAAAAAAAGAAAAGGTCCAAGGTCCTTTGAAAGAAATGGCAAATAATGTTTCTCATTTAGTATGAATCAGTAGCATGGATTCGATGGATATTTAGTACAAACAAAATTGATCTCTTCTGATAGAATTCTGGCAATTTGATGGTACATTTTTAAATAGTTCATTATTCTAGGTGAAGGGACTTATTTAAGGCTTTATCTCAAAGCAATCAGGCACTACTATTAATAAGAACACAAGTGCCTGGAGAAAAGATTCCAATGGGTCATATCTTGGGAAAAAAAGAAAAAAAAGCTTAATCAGTACTGCAAAAAGAAAGACATGTTCCAGGATTATTAGGAACATATTACTGAAAGCAAGGAATATGGTTATTAAATAAAAAGGAGAGAAATATAAGCAAGTATTGGATCAATTCCCAATGGAGGTAATGCTAGAATGCTGTCATGAGTTGATCAGACTCAATTCTGGGGTTGAATTTTTGTGGATGTGTTTCTTTCTCATATCCTTGGCTGATTGATGACATTTTGGAATGACAGTCATTTAACAAATTTTCCTTTGGATCCCAGAAGGTTCATGTTTGTTTCAATTTTTTTTTAATCTCGTCATCAATTACTGTAGAATTGGGGTAGAGGATGTGGATTCCGGAATGGAAAGGAACTGACCAGCCAGCTTCATGCCCAAAGCTGATCAAACCTGGCTTTTAGAATCCACCTTCTCAAGTCTGGCTCTTTGTTTAAAGGGTGGCTTGAGGGAGACATCTGCCCATCCTCACCGAAGACAGATGAGCTGTGTGTCTATTACTTTGGATTCTGTTGAGAAATTTGTGAACAATTGAAAGGATTTATCTGACCAGTTGTGAAATTTAGCACTGATTATTTGATTCTTACTGTGAGGGGATTAATTTGGGAATTATGAGCTTTCATGGGTGGAAATGGAGAAGGTATTCCCTTCACTCTGTTACCATACACGAATAAAAAATCCCAATCCATATGTAAGAGATGCTGCTTAACAGGTAACATACCTCTAGCTCTTGCTTTCCTCCTTACAATGTTGATATACTTCTTCCTTGGTCCCACGTGTGTGTGAATATGAACGTGTTAATAGCCTTCGTAAAGTCCTGAGCTTTTGCTAAATGTATACCTTTAATTTTTACCAGATATGTTTTTCTAATAAAAACACGTCATTTCTATCCCAATGTGGATACACAGCAAATGTTAGTTGACTCTAGTCCTTCTAATAACAGTGGTGGGAAATTGTGGCAAAGAATGTGTTGTTTTGGCTAATACTGCTCTTTAAGTCTCAGACAACAGCTAAACTGTCAGCTAATTACCCCCTGGGTCCCAGGCTTTCACTAAAATACACAAACCAAAGTGAATGCAGGATGCCATTAGCACTACATAATTCAAGTAAACAATAAATCTGTTTACTCTGCCTGGCTACCGACCACCTGCCTCCCCAATCCCACAAGGCAGGTATCTATATATAGGATTTCCTTGTTTCAAGTCCTGCAGAGACTGAGCCTCTCCTTGGGCCTCATCATCCCTTGGGCCCCAACAGGATGCATCTCCTACTACTTCAGTTGCTGGTGCTCTTGCCTCTGGGGACAGCAGGATGGCACCAAGATGGCCACCAGAGTCAGCATTCTTTCTTCCCTGCACTTGTAGAAAGGAGTCGCAGAGAGCTCCCAACCGGCAACCACGAGGAGGCTGAGGAGAAGCCAGATCTATTTGTGGCAATGCCACACCTGGTGGGCACCAGCCCTGCCGTGGAAGGCCAGAAACAGACAGAGAAGATGCTGTCCAGGTTTGGCAGGTTCTGGAAGCAGCCTGAAAAAGAACTGCACCTGCCTGGGGATTCCGTCAGTGGGCACTTCCCACCTGGGACCCAGGCCATCACTCAGCCAATGGACGGGAAAGAAATGGAGAAATCTCCTCTTCGGGAAGAGGCCAAGAAATTCTGGCACTACTTCATGTTCAGAAAGAGCCCGGCTTCTCAGGGGGTCATCTTGCCCATCAAAAGCCACGAAGTACATCGGGAGACCTGTAGGACAGTGCCCTTCAGCCAGGTGTGTGTTCTGGGGGGAGAGGGGATAAATGTTTACTGGAGGGCAGTGGAGAGCTGGGAAGGGTGTAGGGTAAGGAAAGAGGCTGCCAAAAGCCTGAGGATAGCCCAACTCCTAGATTTGGCCTTTGGGCATTCATCATAGGATTTGGCAAAATATGGTCATACATTCTAAATTTCCTTCTAGCCTTTTCATTGTTTCTTGGTATTCTGAAAATAGTGCAAGAAGGGTATGATGGCACTGCCAATATCAGTAATAATTCATATTTGTGGCAAAAAGTTTTGTTTTATGGGATTTTGTTTATTTTTATTTTGGGGGTAGTTTATGCAGAGAATAAGTGATACTGAACCCTCAATTAGGCAACTGGGAATTGGACCAGTCGCCAGAACCTGTCTCTAGTTATATCTCTGCACCCTATTAAGAGGTGCATGAGCAGGTCAACACTATCTGTAGATAAAGTGGGGTACATCGAACCCCTCCCTGAACATCCCCACACACATTTATGATGGCCAGATCCTCATATTTCACACCTCATTGCATCATAGGTTTATAAAGTATGTCGAAGTTCTCAGATAAAAGTTACCATATCATTTCTAGTATTCCTGTAGCTAAAATATATTGGGTTTAATTTATGTTTTCATAAGCTTTCAAAAAAAAAATCTCGATGTAAATAAACTCATAACATTGCAAAGAGCAGGAAAAGAGGGTTACTCATGAATGAGAAGTTTCAATAAATTTAAATAGAGGACCTCCAGAAGGTGCAATATTTGACTACTAGGAGTTTCAGAAAGGGGGAACAGAAAAGGTGAAGGGAAGTAAATAACCAGAGAGCTCAAGGACACCATCATACTTGAGATAAAAAGGATCCATGAAATTCTCAACATGAGGGCTGAAAAAAGACCCATTTTTATGAAATTTCAGAACTCCAAGAAAGAAAAAAAATATATCCTCACATTTTCCAGGAAGAAGGGAAAAACGTAAAGCTAGTGTATTCACGGAGACAGAGAATCAGACTGGCATCAGTCTTCTCATCAGCAATATTGACGGATGGAAAGCAAGCAGTAGATTTCTTACCCAGACAAATTGACAAACAAATTGTGGTCAGAATTTCGAGGAAAAGTAAAATTTGTTGGCTTACTTAAAAAAAAAAAAAAAAAAAAACTTGATGTGAAATTAAACCTCCTCCCCTTACAAACACATATCTCTTAATTCCTGTTACACTGACTGATTTTTGGTTATCGTGATCAATGCCAGACTACTAAGACTATGTACTTTCCCCAGTCTGGGCACCCCCTACACCCCAAATGTTAAATTAAAATTGAGAAATTGCATCAGATCCTAAAATATAAAGATACTGAACCAAAAGCAACACAGGGCAGAATAAAACTTTAGTCTAGTAATGCTACCCAATTAAGCAGGCAGTATTATGAGGTCATTGACTGTGAAAGGCACCTAAGTATTCTGCTTGAAAGGCAAGGATATATAGCAATAAGTCAATTATCAAATAACAATGACTGTTTTGTTGGCCCATATGCAATTAAAAAATTGCTGTTAAGAGTCAAATCAAATTTCCTTTGAAATTATTATTTTTAATACTATTAACAATTAAATTAAAATTAAAGTGTCTGACTCTTACATATTTTGAAGGGCACATACACCTAGGTGTATGGAGTTATGGGAGAGGCAACAGTGATATGATACATGATGATTTGCAGGCATATGTGTTGCTGCTTTGCTCCACAGAGTTGAATGCACTACCAAAAACCAAATGAAACCCATTGCCATGGAGTGGATTCCAACTCATAGCAACCATATAGGACAGAATAGAACCGCCCCATAGGGTTTCCAATGCTGTAATTTTTATGGAAATAGACTGCCACAGCTTTCTCTCTCAGAGTGGCTGGTAGATTCAAACCTCTGACCTTTTGGTTAGCAGCCGAGCACTTAACCGTTGTGCCACCAGGGCTCCTTATAGGTAGAATACCCATACCCGTTGCTGTCAAGTCGATTCCGACTTGTAGCAACCCCATAGGACAGAGTAGAACTGCCCCATAGGGTTTCCAAGGCTGTAATCTTTATGGATGCAAACTGCCACATCTTTCTCCCGCAGAGTGGTGGGTGGGTTCGAACTGCCAACCTTTCGGTTAGCAGCCGAATGATTAACCACTGTGCCACCAGGGCTCCTTTGAATGTATTACAGGCCCTGCAAAATAAGAGTAGAATTAAACTCATGATGTTCTTATCTATTCTGCAATCCATTCAACAATCATGTACTGAGAACCCATTATGCACAATGCACTGTGAGGATTAGAAAGGCAAGACACACCGTATAAGAAGCTAGCCATTAGAATTTTTCCAATTGGTAATTGTAATCAGACAAAATTTCTTAGAAAGCTTAGCATTTTAAATATAGAATAAAATATTTTCATATTAATCTAAAAACCAAAAAAAAAAAAAAAAAAACCACTGCCATCAAGTCAATTCTGACTCATAATGATCCTACAGGACAGAGTACAACTGCCCCATAGGGTTTCCAAGGCTGTAAATCTTTATGAAAGCAGACTGCCACATCTTTCTCCCGCAGAGTGCCTGGTGGGTTCGAACTGGCGAACTTTCAATTAGCAACAAGCAGTTAACCACTGCACCACCAGTGCTCCTTATATTCACCTAAGCACTTCCTAAAGGCTAATTTGTTAATTTGGAGTCCCTGGATGGTGCAATGGTTAATGCTCTCAGGTGCTAACTGAAAGGTTAGAGGTTCAAGTTCACCCAGAAGTGCCTGGGAAGAAAGGCCTTGCAATCTGCTTCTGAAAAATCAGTTATTGAAAACCCTATGGAGCATAGTCCTACTCTGACATGTACGGGGTTGCCATGAGTCAGAGTTGACTCCTTGGCAACTGGTTTTGTTTTTTAATTTATTAATTTACTCAACAAAGAAATTTTACTTGAGGCAGTCTTGTGCCCTAACACCAAAAACAAAAAACCAAATCCATTGCTGTTGAGTTGATTCTGACTCATAGAGACCCTATAGGATAGAGTAGAACTTCCCCACAGAGTTTCTAAGGAGTGGCTAGTGGATTTGAACTGTCAACCTTTTGGTTAGTAGCCTGAGCTCTTAACCATTCAGCTACCAGGGCTCTATGCTATCTATGCCCTTATAGACACCATCATTCAGACACTGTAAAATGCATAAAAAATTAGAAAGATTTTGAAGTTTTAGTCTAAATTATCTTCAGACTTAGAGTTGATGGCTTCTGCATGGTGAGTAAATAAAGAAATGACTAAAGATAATTTAAGGAAATATGTTTGCCTTTTAGACTATCACCCATGAAGACTGTGAGAAAGTAATTGTCCAGAACAACCTTTGCTTTGGGAAGTGTGGGTCTGTTCATCCTCCTGGAGCTGTGCAGCACCCCCATACCTTCTGCTCACACTGCTTGCCTACCAAGTTCACCATGATGCACTTGCAGCTGAACTGCACTGGCCTGGCCCCCGTGGTCAAGGAGGTGATGCTGGTGGAGGAGTGCCAGTGCCAGGTAAAGATGGATCCCAGAGATGGACACCTTGAACAGGCTGGCTCTCAGGCAGAATTCCACACTCAGGATTCCTTTATTCCTGGATTTTCAACTTAAAAAGATATCCCATTACGGCCTTTCACAAGCAAAACCACAACAAAGTTGCTGATTATTAGTCTGGAAGTATTAAGCAGGTACATGTATTCTAAGGGAAAGGTGGTTTAAAAAGTAGTTGTAAGATAGTACCATGTAGAGGAAATGGTATTGGTCTAGTTATCGGCACATGTTTGGAATCTACCAGTCTTGGCTTTCCTACTGACTGGCTGTAGGATGTTCAAAGTGAGTCATAGAAGCTTGCTCTTCTTCAAGTGTTTCATCTATAAATGGGAGGATGGAGCTAAGTGATTGCTAAAGTCCTTTCCACTACTAATATTCCATGATCTTTTGTCTCCAAGTTTTGATAAATGCTCTCCATCTAAAGAAGAAACAGACGGAAATATAAAGATGTGCTTCTTTAATACCTTGTCAAAGCACCAGCAAAAAAGAGTTGAGATATTTTTAGAAAGGATTGCTCATACTTGTAGCTGCCTTTGCATTCTAGGTGGTGTATGACTTGACTTCTATCAAACGGTTAAGTATTTTCATAGATGTAAGGAGTAACTTGCTTGGTTGCCTCCTTATTTTTGATACTCACCATATAAAGTTCTTAATATCAGGTCTCCAGCTTTAAGAAGGAACAATGAAGTTGCTTTTAGTGGTTTACAGAGGGAAGAGGAACAATCAACAACAGCCAAACGAGGACCTATATTACGGAGGAAGGAAAGATACATGGCCAGTACCAGGTTTACAGGGCAACCCAGCGACAGTAATGAAAGTCATCGGGGGATTTCAGTAGACCATGAATTGAATAAACTTCAAATAATTTAAAATTGAAACAAGTCACAGGTGAAATCCTTTATGCACCTCCATTTTGGATTAGGTAGTAAATAAAATTTCTGTTTGAATGACTGGTTTTTGCTACCGTGGAAACACATTATATTATAAATTTTATTCAGCAAATGCTACAATTGCAAGTTCTGAAAATATTCTGAATACTTTAAGCATTAAATTTAGTGTATGAAGCTTTCTGGGAACTTTCTGTGTCATTCAAATGTCTAATAGTTTATCCTCATTTCTTTTGTCTGTCTCAAGATGTAAAGACATTATCTGGAGATTAGTTCGCTTGAAGCTTTTGTAAAAAGACTCCATAGGCTTATAACTTTGGACCAAGATTTCTTCTAATACTGCAGGCAGCATTCTGCTAAGATCCTTCAGTCACTCTTTTAGCCATTGCACTCCTCTTGCCTGTATTTATTTGTATGCACATATTGTATGGAACTTTCCCCAGCCCAATTTCTTTTTCTGCAGTATTTCTCTAAAAAATTGTTTTAAAAAATTATTTTAATTATTTGGACTCCTTTACTTCCAGTACAGGCAAAAAAAGTTTCCTAGAATAATTACTAGTTATTATTATTATTTTTTTGGAAATCAATTTATATTTCAATCCTTTTCCTCTTCATCATACCATCTAACATGGTGTTCTGAAGAGTAAATGCATTTCTATTTAGTGTATATTCTACAACACATCAGTGTAATAGGTATATGCTACACAGATACACATGTAGTATTTACATCAGAATATATTGTACCCTTTGGTGGTCAAAGACTACCTAATTGGCCAAGATGTGGTCGTAAGGATAAAACTGTTAAGCATTAACGATATCACAGCTGGTCAATATATTTTTGTGCCAAAAGCTATCGAGCAGCTGTCTAGTTTGCAATGCCTAACCCTGATTATGTAAACCTGTCTCTGTCAATTGGACTATCCTTCTCCTCCTTACCAAAAACCAAAACCAAACTTGTTGCCACGGAGTCGATTCGGACTCATAGCGACCCTATACGATAGAATAGAACTACCCCATAGGGCTTCCAAGGCTGTAAATCTTTATGGAAGCAGACTGCCACATCTTCCCACAGAGCGGCTGGTGGGTTTAAACCACTGACCTTTCAGTTATCAGCCAAGTTCTTAACCACTGTGCCACCAGGGTTCCTCTTCTCCTCCTTAAACACTTGCAAATCCCTTTTATCTATCCTTGCAAATAGGATCTCAAGCTCAAGCCCCAATCATGTTTTCTTCAAACTCTGGTCTGTCCTTCCCTTGCATGTGAATTTCAGACAAAACCGGTGATAGTGGTATCAGAGCTTATATTCACAGAGTAACAGCGAACGTCAAGAAATTGCCCTCATTCAACCATTTTTACCTACAAAAATGGTAATTTCCAATGGTTCCATATAATATATGGGAACATGAGGAACCCAGAGGAAATACACTAATACTGAACACATATTAAGTGACAGATATTGTGCAGGGTCTTTTACATAAATAAATTATATAATTTACTCCTCACAAATACCATGTAAGGTAGGTAATCACTCTATTTTACAGGTGAGGAAACTAAGCCTCAAAAAGCTTAAGCAACTTGCCTAGATCATTTGGAGCATATATTCTATTTGTATTAAAGACCTGAATAAAACGAGTTATGTCAAGGCTAGCTGAACACTGGAATAAAATCCTTGTTCTGACAAGGGATAAATGGGAAACAGCTATTGGGTAGGCAAGTAGAAGTGTCTGCCACAACTGTTGCCACGTTTTAACTTATGTTATCATTATTTACTTACCTGTCTTATCTTTCTTTGTGGAGTCCCTGGGTGGTGTAAACAGGTAAACACTCAGCTACTAACCAAAAAGTTGGTGGTTCAGATCCACCCAGAGACACCTCAGAAGAAAAGGTCACAGCTATTGAAAACCCAATGTGCAGTTCTACTCTGAAACACGTGGTGTTGCCATGAGTTTGAATTGACTCAATGCCACTGGCTTGTTGTTTTTTGTTTTGTTTTGTCTTTCTTTCTAGACTGTAAGTTCCTTAACAGCAACATCTGTTTATTATACATGTTTGTTACCCCACTGTTTCTAACATAATATTCACCAAAAGGTAATGCTCAATACATGTAAGCTAAATGAATGAATTCCAGGAACTGCTCTTGAACGGTATATTAGTCAAGGTTCTTTAGAGAAACAGAACCAACTGGAGATGAGAGATAGATAGATAGATAGTAAATGGATAGATAGATGATAGACAAAGGGATATTTATTATAAGGAATTGGCTCATGCGATTGTGGGAAAGAAGTCCAAAGTTTGTAGGTCAGGTGGTAGACTGGAAACTCTGGCAGAAGATCTGTGTTACAATCTTGGGGCAGAGTCCTTCTCCTTTCTGGAAACCTCAGTGGTTGCTCTTAAAGTTCTCAACTGATTGGATGAGGCCTACCAGATTATTGAGCATAATTGCTTTTATTTTAAGTCAACTGATTGTAATTGTTAATCATATCTACATGACTTCATAGCAAAATTTAGACTAGTGTTCAACCAAACAATTGGGCACCACAGCCAGCAAAATTTAGACTAGTGTTCAACCAAACAATTGGGCACCATAGCCTAGCCAAGTAGACACACAAAATTAGCCATCACAGCAGGATAGGTAGTGTGCATAGTGTGGGAGATTTGGATAGCATTCAGTGGGTTTTAGGAATGTTTTTGGCAGGCAATGAAGAGGTTTTTCATTCTTTCTTTTTTTTTTATAGGTTTTTGAGCAGATGAGGACGGTATTGGTCTAAAACAGTAACTTCAGAGAGGTCCATGAACCCCCTGAAATTTGTGCAAATGTTGTGAAAATATGGGCATATTTCAGGGGAGAAAGTCTCAAATTTTCACAAGCTTCTCAAAGGTTTCTATGAGCCAAAAATTTTTACCACTAGGTACAATAAAGTGGAGCGGAGAGAAAGCGTGAAGGTCAGAAGAGCTTGAAGAACCCTTGGAAATCAGGTGGCACAAACATCTTTCAACTACAACCCAGGAAAGTTGAGTTTTCATTTTAGGAACAGAGAATGAATTTTAAATCCTATCAGTGAGTTCTCTTCACCGTGGTTAATCTAATTTTCATGGTCAAAAACTTATCTTGGTGAAATATGTGAGTAATAATACCCTGAGCAAAGGAATGGACTTTCCTGTAATACTGGTTTTCCAAAGACAGCCTTCATTTATCCACTCACACTTCTGGGACAGAGCTCAGATATTCATTTTATTGCCTTCCTTCCTCTTACTTGGTTTTGTTTCTCCTCCTTCCCTCCAAACGAAACAGTCACCATTGACCCACCTGTGGGTGGGGACAGGGGTTAATGTTTTTCAAGGAAATTATCACAACTTCCTCTTGTCTACCAGCTAGGGTCAACACACCTCTTTTATGTCCAATCTCCAAAGAACAAGAATTTCCAGTAAGCATATTTTTATAAGTCACATTCACATTACTCAAAGGAAACTTGTGTCCTGCCCAAACCTCAGGCAAGAAACAGGTGAAAACTTAAATGGATAGACAGATCCTACATCACACTCCAGATCAAGTAAGATACTGGGTGCCCCTTTCAGGGGGCCTGGAATCCATGAGATTTATCTTCTGGGTGGTACAAACTGTTAACACGCTCAAGTGGTAACTGAAAGGTTGGAGAGGCACTTTGGAAGAAAGGCCTGGTGATCTACTTCCAAAAAATCAGCCATTGAAAACCCTATGGAGCACAGTTCTGCTCTGATACACCTGGGGTCACCATGAGTCAGAATCGACCTGACAGCACCTGGTTAACTGGTTTGAACATAAAATAACAACAACAATAATAGTAACAGTAACATCCTGTAGCTTTTCAGGACCATGAGAACACAGTTAGTGTGAGCTTCCAGTTGAAGGGTCTCCCAATTGTACAGATATTAAAATGAACATAAAACAATAACAATAATAATAATAGTAATGTTCTGTAGCTTTTCAAGTCCATAAAAACAGTTAGTTTGAAGCTACAGTTGAAGGGTCTCCCAAATGTACAGATATTAACAAAAAGAGATTCTATGTCCCCATTCTCCTGCTGGTTCCTATAAGAGATCATGAGTCCTGTCATAGCTCTAAGGAAAATTGTGAAGCAGGTGGAATTGTCTTTGGGTCCACTTTTCCTGCTTTCTGCCTCTGATCTCATCCTC